TCGACGCGCCCCCCATGCGCCTCTTTTTGAGAGCTCCTCCGCTTGGCTACTACGTCCGCCCGGAAAAAGCTTGCTTCCATTGATTCGCTACAAGCTTTCCGCAGGAGTCTCTGCCAGGCTGCCTCTGCTTAGAGGATTAAATTGAAATCTTTGGTTCAGGCTTCCCAAATGGCCTCGGCTAGCCTGCCTTCCCTCTCAATTTCCACGAATATCCTCTGCTAGCCGGCCCTAAATGCTCCATGACCATTTGGTATGCGGTTTTTTTGTCCTTAGAGAGAGCGTTGGAGAGAAAGAGAGAGAGAGAGAGAGAGAGAGAGAGAGAGAGAGAGAGATTGAGAGGGTGGGAGAGCAAGAACGAGTGCGAGTGAGAAGTTGAGAGTGAGAGAGGGAGACCGAGGAAGAGTCCTATCTCTCTATCTCTCTATCTCTCTCTCTCTCTCTCTCTCTCTCTCTCTCTCCTCGGAAGCCTTGAGCAGCTATTTATAAAATTGCTACGCCGGCAAAATATTCTGCTAGCCTGTGCTCATTCCCCAAATGATCTCTGCTAGCCTGCCCCACGTTCCGTCCTCGCCCTTTTATTCCCTCATGCTAATTACAGGTCAACCCAGTGGTCGTGTTCGGGGTTGGGGGGGATAGCTTTTGTCTTTCGGGAGCGCAGCGGGACCACCTTTTGGGTCCCAGGCCCCTAGAATAATTTGCATATGTAGATTTACTCTCTCAATTTCTTATTATATTAACAGCAATATTATTTTTAAAGTTATTTCGATAAAAAAATTGGCATATGCAAATTAAATTTTACAAAGAATTTTTTTGAAAATGATAGAACGTTAAATAATAATTTTTAGGAGTTTCAACTAGGTCTATACAATGTTTATGCTCCATTTTTCACATAAATTTTTGCGTTTTATTTAGACGAAAAATTTTACGGAAATTTGATGAATAGACAGTAATTAGTCGCTCAGAAAAAAATGTCGAATTTTTTGAGGAGAATTTTTCCTGAGATTCGACTTTTAGGACCATTTTAAACTTATATATTTGCCTTGACAGTCCCTTTAAATCCACAAATTCGATTTCCCGCAAATAAAGTGGCTATATTTTGCTGGCGGTCTCCCATTGTTTACCCAGAGTTTTGGCAGAGGTGTGGGGGAGTGGCAGAGATTCGATTGTTGCCTCTCTCTCTCTCTCTCTCCCTTTCTCTCGCCTTATCTACCCGTTAAAATCACCCTCCCAAAATGGCCTGGGCCTCTTTTTGCCTGGCTTTAGTTAGTCAGCTTTTTGTTTCTTTTTTAATTCTTAAAATTTCCTAATATTCATTAACTTATTTCATCAAACTATATACATAAAAAGCTAAAAATTATATATCCTCTTTAAATTTAAATTTTAACCCTAAACCCATCACTTTTACGGTTTTTCGGATAGTGGGCCAGGTGGCGCGCGTTTGGGGTGCAAAGCAATCACAACCCGTAGTTACCAATTTTCTATTATTCTATAGGCCTTTTATGGTTATTTTATCCATGTTTATGAAAATATATTTATGTTCGACCCCAAAAACTGCCGCGGCGCATAAATCAGCGCGGCGGGACCCATTTCCGGCGTTGTAGCACCCCACGATTATCCTGTCATTTTTGGGTCCTACCCTGGGCCACTGGACGCAGGTTGGGAATGCTATATACGCATTTTTGGAGCTATTCTATTAACCGGGGGCTATTTTATGTATTAATTAACCGGCTTTTGTAGCTATTTCTCTCTTTCTCTCGTTCTGTCTCGCTCTCTCTCTCCATCGTTTTACACTTTTTTGATTTTTCAAACCGTTAAATCCTAATTTTTTTAGAAAATGCTGAGGTGTTAAAGAAACCTCTATTTTCCATCAAATTCTACAAAAATGCCGCCCCTCAACTGTTTCGGGAAAAAGCCGCGTTCAAAGGTGCGTTGCGTACACTAGGTTTAGGTGTTTTTCGTCCCTTTGTAGCTCTATTCCGCAGCAATACACAATGACGGTTTATCCGGAGGGAGAGCGGGAGACAGAGAGAGAGAGATCGAAAGAGTGAGAGAGAGAGAGAGAGAGAGAGAGGAGGAGAAATAGAGCCTACCGCGGAATGCGCCAAAAATCCCGGCTAATCCCCCCAAAATATCGGTGCTCAAAAACGAGTTTCTCAAATTTTTTGCTCTCGTTATATCAGAAAAAGAGGATAAAAGCCTCGTCCCTTTAAAATGACTTACCGTAATGTTTAATTTTAATTTTAACAAGATTTTTAATTTTAGCGCAGCTCCCGCCGCGGCTCGTCGATCAAACAGAATGGCTCTAGGGTGGGTTTTAAAGAAGCGCTGAAGGCAAAGCCTAGCTTTCATAGGTTGCTGACCTATGACTAGGATTTTCAGGCATAAAACATACAGAAAAGTCTGAAAAACTGTGGTGTATTGGTAAGGGGCTCGGCTGCCAGGTGAGCAGTCCGGGTTCGATCACGCCCGTGCAAAATCCGGAAACGATGGTGTATTGGTAGGGTTCTCGCCATCATCGGCAAGGTTCGGGTTCGAATCCCACCGACCCGAAGCTTCTTGCTTTTTGCATTTTTCTGTCTCGGTAACTTTAAACGCTAAAAAACACCAAGCCCGCTGGTGTATTGGTAAAGCTGTTGTCGACCAGGCACAAGGCCCGGGTTCGACTTCCACCCTCGCCAAACATTTTGCTTTTTGCCACAGGATATATATGGATGGAAGATGTTGCATGAATCGAAAGAGAATGGGGTTGGCCTTTCCTCTGGCAGTGGTTGTGGTTCTTGTTGTTTCGCGAATAGAATCCCCCTGAGACCCCCCTTCCCCCTCCGTCCGTCCACTGGACATTCACGGAATCTCAGCCCCTTTGCTAGCTCTCCCCCCTCGTCGCTTTGGACATCAATTTTGCGCGGACCCAATTTCGGCAGACCCTTCGTCAAAAGTTAGACGGTTAAGAGTTTTTAGATTTTTTTACAAAGTTTCGCAAGTTAAATAGTTTAAACCTTGCCAGATTCCCGGATGTGCTTCCTCAAATTGACTCCTGAAGAATCTCTGCTAGTTTGCCTCTGCTTATCAGCCTTGTTTTTTGCGGGTTACAATCGATCATTGCTAACCCACCCGTCCCGTCACCTTTTTCTCAAAGTCTCTGCTAGCTTACCAAGGCACACTCAATTACTCAAGAATCTCTGTTGGCTGGCCATACATAATTTAAATTCCTAAATGGCCTCTGCTATACGGGGCTAGCGAGATCCGATTCCTCAAAAACCGCTGCTAACCTGCCCATCGCGATTTATTTCCTCAAAGGTCTATGCTCGCATGCCCTCGACAAGCTTAATTTCTCAAAAAAAAACTCTGCTAGCTCGCCCTACACCACTATAAATGTCATAATTATCCTCAAAGAATCTCTGCTAGCCTGCCCCTCCTCCAATCATCGATCCTAAATTATTGCTGCTTTCGCCGCCGCGTTGCTATTGCTCTAAAAGTCTCTGCTAGCCATTTATCCCCATTTCTTTCCCAAACGACCGCTGCTATCTTGCCCTACTGCCTAAAATCCAGACATGGCAATCGGCCGGGCCGCGCGGCTTTTTCGGCCGCAAAAATTAGAATGCGGCCGAGCCGCGCGGCTTGGCCGCACTTCCGGTGCGGCCGCGGCTTTTTTCCGTTTTGAGGCCGCACGGCGGCCAAGCCGCGCGGCTTTTAAGGCCGCATCCAAATGAGTTTTGAGAACTTCCGGTACGCAAATCCGAGATGTTATGGGTATTTAGCTTGCTAACGAGGAGGATTTATTTTCGACAGCCTTAATTTTCTCATTTCCATTTCCATTTCGCATGAAATTCGCGGATTTTTAGTATGTAGAAGAGCTACTTCCGGTTTGCGGCTTGGCCGCGGCGGCCCGGCCGAGCCGCGATGAAAATGCGGCTCGGCCGCGAAGCCGCGTTTCCGGAAGTAACTAATTACGGCGGCTCGTAGGGGGCCGCGTTTTTGCGGAAATTAGGCCGCCGGCCCGGCCGCGCGGCTCGGCCGATCGGAATTGCCATGTCTGCTAAAATCCCTAAAATCTTCTCCTCGACCCATTACCCTTTCCATTCCCCCTCCTGTCTATCCTGATTAGGTCCCTGGCGCCCATTTCCCCGCTTTTTTCGTCTGGTCCTAATTTTGGACCCATTTTTTGGGATGTTCCGCAAAGCTCCAACTTACCAACCAAATTTTAGGATTTTTGGCAAAAATCTGTGGTTTCCAAGCTCTTTAGTGGGCAGGCTAGCATAGGGCATTTGGGGAATGGAGAGAGAGGGAAGGCTAGCAGAGAGCATTTGTGGAGTGGAGAGAGGGCAGCCTAGCAGAGAGCATTTGACGAATGGAGAGATCTTTGGCAGACTAGCAGAGATCTTTGGCTTTAAAGGAACTTGCAAAGCCTATGGATTTTTGCCTTGCCGGGGCCTTTAAAGATCAGAGCTTAGCTTTTAAGATAGGCTACCCTCCCTAGCTATCCTTCCTAGGGTATTATATTTCAAAGGGATTAATGACCCCCCTGCTGACAGCCCATCTCGACCACCGCTACTCGTCCCCCAACCTCATTGACCCGCGCGTTTTTCATTGTCATCTTTTGGATTTGTCAGGCAGGCTAGCAAAGTTTCTTGAGGAATTTTAGAAGACTGAAATTGTCCTTCAAATACCGAAACAAAATTACCTTTAATAACTCTTAAGGTCTGGCCAACCAGCCCAAAAACTTTGCATTTTTTCACTCCAGATTTTAGACACTTTTTCAAGAATACGGGCAAGCTAGCAAAGTTTATTTATTTTTAAGAGGGCCAGGAAGTCAAAATCAGTTATTACCCAAAAGGCAAAAAAACAGTCACACCGGAGATCGAACCCGGACCCTCTGCCCGACCGCCGCGCACTTTACCAATATACCACAGCCCAAGTTCTTTATTTTCTTCGTTTTGGATGGGTATGAAATTGGGATTTCTTTGGTAGTAGATTTTTTCCATTTTCAGAGCTCCTCCGAGATGGGCCCCTCTTCAGATGAGGGTCTTACCCTGCAGTACGTGACCAAACGAATTATAGGTATTTTAATGGGTAGCAAAATCAAATTAAAAAATTTTTAGCTGTCACCTCACCATCGACTTCATCGGAGAAGGTCTATAAAGAATCGTTGTCCAGGGTTGCGCATCAATTAAAAGCCGATCATCCGGGGACGTTTAAGGTATGTGTAGAGTAGTGTAGCGTACTTCTCTAAATGAATCTCTCTGCCATTGCCTCTCTCTCTCTCGCTCTCTCTCTCTCTCTCTTTCCCTCTCTTTTTGACTCTCTCTCACGGTCCCTCGGACTTTCGAGCGGAAGAATTCCAGATCTGGAATGTCTCCCGTGCCCGCAAGGACCTCTATCGTCTCGGCCCTGTCGTTGATGTCGGTTGGCCGTCTCCTTTGGCACCGCCCCTTGATCGGTAAGTTTTAGTTTTTTGGAAGGTTCCCGGTCCCTTTAAAAGAGGATGTCTGCCTTCAACGGACCTTTAACAACGGATTATTGTCTTCAACAGCCCTTTAAAATCGGGTTTATGCCTCCAACGTTCTTTTAATACCGAGTTGTGCCTTGAACGGCCCCTTTATAACCGGCTTTTTCCTTCAACGACCAGATTAATGCCTTCCAGGGTCCTTTAAAAGCCGAATTCTTGACTTCAACGGCCCTTAAACCCAAGTTTTCTAGATTATGCGTAATGTGCAAGCAATGGGAGCAATTCCTGGCCGAATGCCCACAAGCCACCATCGTCGTCCATTCAAGAGGAGACCCATCTAGATCAGCCATGACCATCTGCGCCTACATGCATTATAACGCGATATGTGCAAAGTACGGTAACATGAAATCATTTTAGAAAGTTTTCAGACAAAAAGCAAAAAGTTTGACCCCGGCGGGACCCGAACCCGGAACCCTCGGCTGATAAGCTAGAGCTTTACCAATACACCAATCAGACTTTGCGTGATTGAACCACGCTTTTGGAATTCAACCGTTTAGTGAACCCAGTAAAGGCGCCGCAAACCCAGTAATTTTAGTGACGATGCCGTAGATGATCGATTTTCCATGCAAAGGTATGCGGATCGATACCTCGGCGCACAGGGGCAACCTAGTCATAAAAGGTATCGTTTTCAATATAATTAAGCTTACATGGTCCTTTAAATTAAACGTTTTGTGTAAAGCCAACACTTCAAAATATCGTTATTTAGGTACTTGACCTACTTCTCGAATCTTCTATCCGGCAAAACGCGCGTTAATCCGGCCGCTATTTATTTACAGGTTTTATTTAATTGGTGAAATTTGATAAATCAAATTTTAAGAAAATTATCCTCCATCACCTCGTCGAAAAGAGCCTCTCGTTCAAAATCTACGAAAAAATGCGCCCGGTTTATTCCACAAATTTTGGGTTGGTTTTCAATATTCTCTGCTAGCCCGCCTTCCATTTCTAAAATTCTCTCTGCTAGTCTGCTGTTTTAAAGCCCCTTGAAGTCAAAATCTATTCTTTTCAGCTCGGCAAAGGATGTCTCAAAATTTGACACTGAGCAAGAGGTGAAGCTCCGGGGCGACATTCTCATCAAGTGTATCGCCAATCGGTAAGGGAGGGAGAGAGAGGGAGCGAGAGAGCGCGCGAGAGCGCGCGAGAGAGCGAGAGAGAGAAACTTGCAACTTCCTGGCCCCCTTAAATGCTATATTTCAGGGGTGAAAACAAGGAGACGCTCTTCTTCTGCCAGTTCAACACCTGCGCTCTCGAGCTCTTGGGCAAGACGCCGAGCCTGTCCTTCTTCAAGGAGGAGCTGGATTTGATATTTGCTGGTGGGCATGAGAGTGAGAGAGGCAGAGAACGAGATAGAGAGAGAAAACAGCGAGGGAGAGAGAGAAACAGCGAGGGAGAGAGAGATTTCTGTAGCTGATCAACCTTTTCCAGATCCTTCTATCGACAACCAATGCAAACTGGAGCTCATCTTCTCCCTTGATCCACCTCGTTCTCAACGCAAAAGATCAACTACATCCTCTTCAATCGATATTTCAAGGGCTGATAGCTACGAGAGTTTTGCCCTGCCAGAAGGTACGGTACTTTGATTTTTTTGTGTTGACAATCTCTTTGATCTCGGATTTAGTAGTCTTTCGGAATTCTTTCCGCGGCCAAATATTGTTTTGTCTCGAAGCCCATTCCGCTTCTGGGGCTACAATTCTTTCCACTTTACACCTTGGCGAGAGCCCGCCAATTAGCTCGCGGATTATTATTGGCATTGTCTTAAGTTATCGACTTGGCTTCAACGGTCCTTTAAAGATCTTTCCTGGCTTCGGTGCGTTAGAGATAGATTTGAGCCTTCATCAGTCCTTGAAAAACTGTATTTTGCCTTCTAGGCAATTTAAGGATATTGATGTCGCTTTGCAACCCTTTTAAATGAGCTTTCTGCCTTCTATGTTCCTTTAAGATATTTGGCTAAGGTTTACTTTACCCCTCCTCCCCCCAGCCGGAGGTTTTTGGCTATAACTTTTTTATTTTACATTATTGTGGGCTCAAATTAAAGCTCATAGTATATTTTTCGACGCTCTATCGAATGGCGTTGCAAAAATCCCGACAAAATAAGCGAAAATACCGGCAACTTTGAGACCCTTCGGTTGTGGGGGGGGGGGGGGGGTAAAGTAAACTCTTACCAGATATTTATCTGTCTTTAGCGGGCCTTTAAATACCCTAATCCGGCTGCCAGTCATTAATTCGAAAATCATTACTTCGAAAATCATTACTTCGAAAGCCATTACTTCGAAAAGTCATTAGTTCGAAAAGTCATTTCTTCGAAAAGTCATTACTTCGAAACGTCATTACTTCGAAAAACATGCATAGCACGTACGCTAATTGACATCATTCTGCCTCTACCGGTCCGTTTATTCGATCGAGTTTTTTATACGTCGCATGAAAAAAATCGGCAAATTTTTACTTTACCCCCAGATTTTTCGATGTTTTAGTTGGTTAGTACGAACATTTTCTGATGTCACTTCAGAGAGCATCAAAACATACACGGACATTTTTAGGTAAACATCGTGATGCTTCAGTGATTGAATGCAAGGATCATTATAACAAAATAATAATTCGTAGAGATGGAGTAACCAACAATCCTAATACAGACCGAAACTCTACACAGTAATAGCCTTAATAGAATAGGCATATGGTACCTACGCAATGGTTTTATCCTCAGTGTCATGAATTTCGTGATATGAACAGTCCAAATTAGCATATTTTTCGAAGTAATAACTTTCGAAGTAATAACTTTCGAAGAAATGACTTTTCGAAGTAATGACTTTTCGAAGTAATGACTTTCGAAGTAATGACGTTTACCCCCCTAATCCTATTGGGTAGGCTAGCATTTACCGTTTTAAAGGGTCGTTGAAGGCCAGCTCTATCCCAAGCCTTTAGACGACGCCGACGAGCCGGTAGAATACAGCCGCATCGCCAAGCCGGTCAGCGAGGATTCGGGGTTGTCGACGACTTCGCCGAGTAAAGTAAGATTTTCGCAATAAGGCTGGCTTATTCTCTCTCCCTCCCTCCCTCTCTCTCTATCTCGCTCTCTCTCTCCCTCTCAACCAAAAAACCCGGAGGTGACCTCTGTAAAACAGTCCTTCCCATCCGGCAATAGATCACCCGGATCCAGATGTTGCACCCACACTTTTTTCGACTTCCCGATGTCCCCGCGGCACGGGTCTGACATTCTAGTCAAAGGATCTCTGCTAGGTTGTCTAAAAGTTGGAAAGTTACGGTAGAGGCAAGCTAGCAGTGATTCTTGGGGAATCGTGGCTCCAGAACTAGGCGGGCCGGCAGCGACCTTTGAGGCATTTTCTCAGTATCTTGGCATACTAGCAGAGATTCTTTAGGATTGATGCCAGATTTGTGGAGACAAGCTAGCAGCGATCATTGAGGAATCAAAAAACCTGCTAGCAGAGATTAGTATGAAATTCTAGATCTGAAGCACAGGCAAGCTAGCAGGAATCCTTTAGGAATTATCACGCATTCAGCCATGGCAAGCTAGCAGTGATTCTTTAGGAAAAACCTTTGTATATGAGGTATGCCAGCAAAGATCTTTGGGAAATTAGGGCAGCTAGCCGAGATCTTTTGGGAATTTGGCTCGGCTGGTAAGCTAGCTGAAACTATTGTGGAATGCTCAGAGCACCGATTAGGGCAAGCTAGCCGAGACCCTAGTGGAAATGGCCGATTTTAAGGGCTAACTAGCAGAGAGCTTTTACGAGCCGTGACAGGGTCAGCTAGCAGAGATCTTTGCGGACTTACACCTACCGTACCCCAGCGCCGATATTTCCGCTTTTTTTGTGTTTACCCCCGGGGATTGTGTGTAGTGGGGAGTGACACATGTTGGCCCCGGTCCAGATATCTCTCCTTAGGGCCCAAATAGATTCGATCGGAAGGGAGGGGCCAAAGGGGAGCACCACAGGGCCCTGTAGTAGCCCCAGCCCCACCCCAAACCGTCTCTCTCTCTCGCTCTCTCTCGCTCTCTCGCTCCCTCTCGGCACAGAGGAGCCCCATCCCCGAAGGGATATTACAGCCAACACTCACTTGCCTAGCAGCGGTGAGAGAGAGCTCTTGCTCCCGTGGAATGAGCATGAGAAATGGAGAGAAACGAGAGAAAGAGAGCACCAACAACCCCATCCTCACCCCCTTTAGATATCTCCCCCCAACCCCCCGGGATCTCTTCCTCCCCCCACCATCACCCTGTCACCTTTTTTATATTGATGCCGGGATTTTTTGCAGTATTCCGGACACTGGCGCTCAGGCTCAGCTGACCCGAACCGGGGAGCTAGCAGCGATTCTTGGGGAAATATTTTTATTTTAACTGGCTTCAATCGACCTTTAAAATCCATTTACAGTATATTCCAGAATGCCACATTTTATCCTTTATAATATCTCTCTCCCTTGCGCTCTTTCTCTCGTTCTCGCTCTCACCCCCTCTCTACGCCCTCTCTCTCTCTCTCTCTCTCTCTCCTCTGTATCTCTTTCTCCTCCTCTGTCTCGTTCTCTCCGGTTCTCTCTCTCTCTCTCTCTCTCTCTCTCTCGCTCTCTCTCTCATTTCAAGCAATTTGCGCTGGTTATTGATCCGATTTCCGGTTTCCTAAGAAATCTCTGCTAGTTTGCCTGCCCGCATTGGCTCTGGATCTCTGGATTTGACGGATTTGTTTTCCGACAAGGTTGAAACGATTCTATCGTGAAAAGATAATGAAAACGGTAACCTACCGTTTTCTACAGTAACCCGCCTGGAGCGCGTTTTAGCATGACAAGCCAAAAAGGCCTTAAAGCAAGAATTTTTCAATTCTAGGCCGTTTTCTGGGTGATTAGGAGCGCGCAGGAAAAAACTTACTTGCGTTCTGTGGTAAATGACAAAGTTTAAAGTGGAAAACCCTCCCTGGGGACCAATTTTGGATCCGAGGCCCCGAACCCAAAATCGAACTTTTGAAAATCTCGAAACCACAGGGGTTCGTAGATAAAATTAAGGCATCGATCGAGCTGTGCATGAAAGTAAAATTCGTTTGAAGTTCATTGTTAATTTGAATTCAAACCGAAAATGGTTTGACGGGCTCTTCTAAATCCATTTGCCATGAAAAGTTTTTGTATTTCCATGGGTTCTAGTTGAATACCTAAGCTGAGTTGTCTTTGCCTATTTCCGAACGATCAGTGTTTCCTTAAAGCTCTAAAGAACACCTCAAAAACCTGTTGAAGCCGTTTTTCGCGCTAATCCTCCTCCGATAGTTGAGAACCCTTTTAGCCAACCCGCCTTTTTTTCCGTTTCTTTCCTCTTAACGTCTCCTCAAAATATGCATGCGAACGGGAGCCCCGCTAGCCGCGCCGAATGTTTCTTTTTGTCTTTCGCTTCCACCCTTTTTTTTTGTTTCTATGCCCGGGGCAATGGCTGACACACAGAGAAGCCACTTTTCGATTGTTGCCATGGGCGGGGAAATTCGATTTTTATATAGTTTTTAACTGTTTTAGGCGTATTTTCTTTGCTGCAGTGTTTTAAACTAGCTTTCAATATCTTCCTTTTCGATCTCTTCCCAAATCGTTGCTTCGTAGCGACCGGAAATTCTATTTTTATTGTTTTTACCTCTATTTTGTTAATTTAGCTTATTTAAATTAACTCTAGTTGCGAAAGAAATTTTAAATGGGCTCTGCTAGCTTGCCAAGCGGAAAAAGGTGTAAGCTTCCAAAAAGAAAAAATGACATGAAAGAGGAGCCCTAAAAATTAATTTAAAATCTCAATATTTTTATTGGCTTAAAAGAAACTTAATCTCAATTTTAATTTTCGTCGTTGATTTTTTGCTCAACCTAATTTTTGTAATTTTGTTATTTTAAATGATTTATAATGATGATCTACGATTTTTGTTTTATCTCCTTTAATTACGATTTAATTGCTAATATTTATTTGATATCAATACCCCTATTTTTGCAACCGTAAAAAGTTTTATTATTATTGTAATTTTTTATTTGCTTTTGGCAATAGTTGCACTTTTTTACGGTAGAAAAGCTAGTAAAATTGCCAGCAATTTTTTTGTTGTTTGTTGGGTTAGTTGGATATCCCTCTGGGTATATAGCGGAAAATAGAGTGGGTAAAGAACAGCTGGCCCTCCCCATCTTCCACCTCCTTCTCCACCTCCTCCTCCTCTTTTCTTTCCCCTCTTTTTCGATTGCTTTAAACTTTTAATCGTGCCCTTCCGGTCCCACTCTTTCACATCTACCCGCTTTTTCACTGTAGGGGTCAAGGCATTTATCGATTTTGTAGATTTTTCAGGAATTCTTGCCTTCCTAATTTTTAAGGATAATTTCAAGGCTTGTTATGGATTGATCGGCTATGGTTCCTTGATGGATTTTTCGGGACGGTATTTTCCCTCTATTCGTCTATTTTTCTCGTACTCTCACGCTCTCTCTCTCTCTCTCTCCTTCTCCCTCTCTCGCGCTCGCGCTCGCTCTATCTCTTGTTCTCTGTCTCTCTCTCACTCACTCTCTATCTCTCACTAACTATCTTTCACTCTCTCATCCCTCACGGTCTCTCTCAGCCTCTCTCTCTCTCTTTCTTTCTCTCTCTCTCTCTCTCTCTCTCTCTCTCTCTCTGCGTAGCCGATTACGCTATCAAATTCCCAAATTCCCAAAGTTTTAAACAATTTACCGTTTATTTTGCAGGAGGAATCATTGCCGCATCACCCTCAAATGGGCCCCCCGGTCCCTCCAAAGCCGACATCACGGCCTGGAAGTGTGCAGCCGCCAGAAGATGAACCACAAGGCGAATATGTCGAAAGGTGCGGAAACTTTCCTGGGCCTTTGAAATGCCGGTTAATTTCTTCACCCTCTTTTTTCAGACGTGGTGTCCTCCCAGCCTCCGTTCGTCCCATGGTTAAAGCACAAAAAGTGAGCCGCCTAGGGAAACCTGCATAATTCACCATTTTCAGGAGCAAGACGCCAGAGAGGAGCAAGAACTCAAGGAGCAACAGGAAAATGGAATGGTGGCCCCACTAGATGAACTGAATGCCGAGATTCAGCAGGAAAATAATGGTCCCGCAACGGCGGAGAAAAAAGCGGCACCGAGTCTTGTGCCAGATTTGGTCGGAAAGGATAGGTGAGCTAGCAGAGATTCTTAAGGAAACTGGCTACCATGCCAGTTTTTCATTTTTCAATTTTTGCATAGTGATTCTTTGAGATTCACAACGCCTCCAGGCAAGCTAGCAGAGATCATTTGCGGAACCTAGCAGATACCTTTGCGGACCATTTTAATCCCCATTCTTTCAGATACGATAAAGCTTCAAAATGTTTCTCCTACGTCCCGTCAAAAGCCCTAAAAGAAGCCTTTTCCCAGCCGAAGAAACCGACACCAAAAAGATTATTCGACACCAGCAAGGTATGCTAATTTCAGGGGAATTAAAGGGATTAGGAAGGTCGAGATCTAAGCACCTGTCGAGACCTAGTCGACTGTAGAGTTCGAAACTGTTGCTTCATGGTCCCTTTAAATGAAGTCTTTCAGGAAAACCTTGATGTTGTTAGGCCAGACGAGTTGTCGAGAGCCCATGAATATACGAGGGCTGTCGATCTGGTCAGGAGGGCTGAATCACCGAAATGGACGGATACGGTAGGCGAGCGTTTTTTAACTTCAATAGGCCTTTCGAGGAGTAAGCCGCGTATTGAATACAATTTTTCAGATCGACTCAACAGCTCGCTACAATCACGAAGATGTCCGGATACCAACAAGCTCGGAAGTCAGACAGCCAGAGAGGCCGAAATGGGAAGAGGAGATTGAAGAGGCCAGAAAGGTGGGCGGGAGGGGATGCATTAAAGGGGTAGGGACAGATGCGCACTTCGGTTTCAAAGTATCTGCTAGGTATCCACGGTAGAATTCTGGCTTCCTGGCATCTTTAAAATAGGTGTAAAAATCATTGCTAGGTCGCCTAGTTTCTCGAAAATTCCAACAAATTTTGAAGAATCGACTCCTGCAAAGAATCTCTACTATTGGGTTGGAACGTAAGTCTCTGCGTATTTTCGAGCTCAATTTTCGTGCGGAAATCCTACCTTTTTTGTTGTGTCCTATATACCATTAGAAAGAGAATTTTTTGCTCTACAAGGCTGAATAGCCGCTTATTTTATAGGCGTTAATTTTGCTTGGATTTGGGGGAACGAAGTATCGGCGAAAATGACCTCAAAAGATCGACGACCGCACCATGCAAAATTTTTTCCTTACCATAATTATCAAATTCAATTTGATCTATTATGTACTCACTCAGTAGGACTACAGTTTGCCGCCAAAGATTATCAGGTTTATGGATTCGTCTACGCTAAACCCGGGCTCAAATTATCGCACAAGGCAGTAGTTCTCCTTGGTTGATGTTTTTCCATGAAAATTTCAAGATAGCTCTGTTTGATTTTGAACATTGTAGTTATTCTAAGTAAGCAGAAAAGTCGAGCACGAGCTTGGAATGTGCTAAATAATTGTTTTTAACGCACAATTTAGCAAGTGGAGGTATGGCGCATTTTGGTCAATTTTTCGATCTGCTAAAAATTACTGAAAGGCTATTTAGAAAATAACCTAATTACATGAAAAAGTAGAGAAATTCAAACTCTTTCGAGACCCAAAAAGTCAATTGTAAAAATAATTAGCGATCGTGCTCAAAATCGAGCTCAAAGGAAAGCGACGATTTTCATTCTAACCCATTAATTTCGAGCAATGTAAACGTAGAGAATAAACTAATACCAGTTTCTGATAGAGAAAAGAAAGTTCTTTCGGATGATATATAACACTTGGTCCAAAGTTAACGATTAAGACAAGCAGCGAGCTTTGAAAAAAGCGCAGAGACTTACGTTCCAACCCAATATATTCTTCGTTTTCCAAAAAAATCGCTGCTTGTTACTCTCCCTTCGATTCCACAGGTGTCTCTGCTAGCTTGCCAAGAATCTCAAGGTCACGGTTGGGCCTGTATTTTCCAAAAATCTCTGCTGGCTTGTCTTCATCTGCAAAACTCTCTACTAGCTGCCACGTCTACGTAAATTCCTCAAAAATCTCTGCCAGCTTGCCTGAGTTCCGCAAAGGAATTCCTACTAGGTGGCCCTACTTAAAAATCCCCGTACGCTATCCGCCCTGGCGTCGTGGAAGCGTTGATGCGTATTCATTGGTGGTCTTCTTCATCCTGTCTACCTCTCTCTCTCTCGCTCTCTCTCTCTGTTTCTCTCTCTCTCCCTCTATCTTTCTATTTCTCTCTCTTTCTTTCTCTTTCTCTTGATCCATATAGCCTGGGGGAAACAATGAGAGAGACAGAGGGCAAAGGAGCGTGGGAGAGAGAGTGAGAGAGAAAAAGCGCACTAGAGAAAGAAAACACTGGTTTATTGCTAGTCTTCTTTTTGCCTTCCGGATTCACCCAAATGGAAAGCAGAAGAAAAGGGAGGTCTCCCGTTACATCCACATCTCCCATCCGCCCCTTCAGAATCCTCAGCATCCGTCCTCTAATTCCAATTCTACGCTAAAAAAACAACCTAAAGGCACGCTGACGCCAGAAGTCGACAAAATCCTTAGACGATTTTGCCTTGCCGGTCCCTTTAAATGACATGACGACTTATCAATTGCTTGATACACTGCTGACAGATTTGGAGGTTGGTTGACCAAATGGTGTTTGCTAGGTTGCCCTCGCGTGGAGAAATTAAAGGATCTTTGCGAGCTAACCAAGGTACTGGTTTTTCCGCAAAGAATCACTGCTAGCTTGCCGTAGCACGATGGAGAGGATTTGACTTGTAATATACGGATTTCGACATTGGCCCAGAGACGATTTAAAAGGGTTTCTGCTAGCCTGCCTTTACGTCTCTCTTCGTTCTCTCTCTCTCGCTCTCTCTCTCTCTCTCTTCTCTCTCTTTCTGTCTCTCTCGCTCTCTCTCTCTCTCTTCTCTCTCTTCACTCTCGCTCTTTCTGTCTCTCTCGCTCACACTCTCGCCTCCGACGGCTCTGTTTCCGCAAAAATCTTTGCTCGCCTCCGTAATGGTTTACTAAACGAGGCCGCTTCCTAAATGGTCTCTGCTAGCTACCCAAATTTTCTCAAAAAATCCCCGCTAGCCTCCAAATCGACCCCAATGGATAGAGCTTCCTCAAGAAACTTTGCTAGCCTTTCTCTTCCCAATTTACAACCCCATTCGCAAATGCTCTCTGCTATCTGCCCCTGAATTTCCCCAAAAACCCCTGCTAGCCTGCCCAGGTGTTCTTCCTTTGTGCTAATTGATGTGCAATAGTGACGGGCTGAGTGAGGATGGCCAGCTTTAGACCCACAAAGCGGCCACCACTATGTGTAATGCCCAGCAGAGATTGAGACAGAGGGAGAGAGAGAGAGAGGGAGGCAGAGACAGAGAAAGAGAGACACCCACCATACTCCATTACTAGAGGCCCCAGGGGCCCAGCGGGGCTCGTTTTCCTTTTACTACAGGCTCTCCACCTGCCCGGAACTGATTATTGATTGATGCGTTGTTTGTTTTCTGGTGTTCTCTCTTGCTCTCTCTCGCTCTCTCTTTTCTATCGCCTAGAAATTAGCAAAGATCCTGCTATTTCTGGCAATTTTTTCACGGAAATTTCAAAAAATCGAAAAATTGAGACATCGTTAATTTTTAGTTAAGGAATCGGCTCATGCTCCTTTTCTGTTGCTCTCTCTAGTTGTCCCTCATTTCTATCGCCAGAAACTAGTAGAGCCCATCGGGGCAATTTCCTAAAATTGAAACTTTAAAATTGCGGTTAAAACTAGAGCACATGCTCGTTTTCTCTTGCTCTCTCTAACTGTCTCTCTTTTCTATCGCCTAAAAACTAGCAGAAGTCATTAAGGAAATATCTGGCATTTTCCTTTAGATAGATTGATCCGCGAAAAGCTATTACAATGGGTTTGTCAATTGGTAAAGCTCTCGCCTCCCACCCATACGACCCGGGTTCGAACCCCGCTCGCGGCCAAATTTTTTGCTTTTGCTCCAAGAGCCAGGAATTGTCAGTTCGAACATTTTTGAGTAGTAGGCGCAAGAGAGGATCGCAGAGATATCGAGTCCCAGAGCCGAAACAACTCCCCACTCTCGATTTGAAATCATTGTTGCGGAAATAACTCGACGCCCCCAACTACTCTACCCCCGTTCCCACCTGAAATTTGATTCCGCTAGGGCAATCTAGGCATATTTGTGCTGAGAATTTTCCTAAGGATCTTTGCTAGCTCGCCATCGTTGAAAATTGCGAATTTTTAAATGCGTAGTTGATTTTTGAGCATAATTTTTCCTCAAGAATCACTGTTCGTCTGCCTACGATCAAATTGTCTCTGCTAACCTCGCTTGAATTTCCTCGAAAATCTATGCTAGCTCTCTATGTGTCCTAGGTTTCCCAAAAATCGTTGCTAGCTTGCCCATTAAAACAGATTTTTCTAAAGAATGTTGCTCTCTCTCTCCCTCTCTCTCTTCGCGCTTTCTCTCTGTCTCACTTTCTCTCTCTCTCTCTCTAACCCCTTTTCTACAGCCTCCCCCATCTACCGTATGCCGTAATGTTCCGTCGTCTCCTCGGAGGTCCTCCTCCACAACGAGCTGAAATCGTTCACATCGAACCCGGTCAGGCTGTCTATGAATTGTCAGAGGATATCATGGCCAGAAGCCTTTCCCAAGAACCAGAAGATCATCAACAGCATCAAGAAGGCCCAAAACCAATCCCAACCTCACTTTCTTCACTACAAGCTCAGTCTTATCAGCCGCCGAGCCGAGATCGGCTTGAAAAGTCTCCAAGTCCGATTCCGGAAAAGGCTATCGCGCCTTGGGAAATTGATCCCAGGTCTCGAAGCCGGTCACCAAGCCAAGCTCGCGAACCTGGGCAGGCTAGAAGTCGGACTTGCGAGCCGAAGGGGTCCTTTTTCGGTAATTTCCTAAGAAATGGACGACAATCGAGCTTTAGAGAGAAAAATGGGTACAAACCGGAAGTCGAGTCCAAGCCAGAAACGAAGCCAACTGGCTTCAGGATATTCCGGAAGGCTCCGGAAGGGTTTAAAGCCAAAGAAACCGACAGTCCGAAGCCGGTTTTCAAATTCTTTCGAAAACCGGAAGCTTCTGGTGCTCAAGATAGCTTTCAAAAGACGCCCAAAAATGAAGTCGATAGTCCGAAGCCGGTTTTCAAATTTTTCCGAAAATCTGAAGCCCCTGAAGCCCAGGCCAAGCCGATAAACGAAGGACCCAAACCTAGAAGTGCCCTAAAACGATCAGACACAATGCCGACAAGACAAGCGGAACCGGAATCCCCGGTCCCAGCCCGCTCGAAAACCCCGATTTTTGAGCGCTTTTTCCCGAACTCTATAAAAGAGGCGGATCGAAGACACACATGGTGGGGCAGGCCAAAAACCCCGAAAAACGAAGAGAATTCTGAGCTCAGGAATTCCCAGGTGGAATCGACGGCGGGGAGCAGGAGCTCCTTGAATGTGTCCTTTTCGGAGCCGCCTGTATTTCAGGAAAACCCTCTATTTGTTAGTAATGCGGCCAGAGGGGGAGCAGGAGTATCCAGGGAGCCCGACGGCAACGGTTTTCAAGGAGTTCAGAAGACGTCGGGCCAGAATTACGGGACACCAATAAATTCTGGAGCCTCTCAGAAGACGTCCGGCCAAGATTTCGGAGATTCCGACGGGTTTCAGAAGACGTCTGGTCTTGATTCAGGAAATTCCGAAGCTATCCAGAAGACATCGAACTTGAATTTTGGAGATTTAAGGATTTCCGGTGCTTTCCCACGGCCGTTAGACTCAAATTCTGGATTTTCTCCACCCCTCCAGAAAACGTCAGGCAACAATTTCGGTAATTCCGGAAATTTTGGAGCATTTGGGCTCACGTCAACATCGAATTCTGGACCCTTCCAGAAGACGTCCGCCCAAAATCCGTCGCCAGGCCCCCTAACCAACACCCCAAAGCCGTTCGGTGTCCCCTCCTCATCCACTTCCGATGCCCCACCCCGACCTCCTCCACCTCGTCGCAACTTCTTCCAATTCATGGCCACAAAAAAGCCGGAAGAAGATGATAGTGACATGGTGAAGTCGACGGATTCCGGAATTGGGCAAAGCCCTGAAGAAGAGGAGAAGAGGCCGAGAAGCCGCTCAAAACCCCCGGTACACCCGAAGAGTAGAACACCAACGTTTGGAACGAGTACGGGGGACAACCAGGAGAATACGGTAGAACGGACGACGACGACGACAAGGGTATCCAGATGGGAGAAATATAAACCCAGTGAAGTCAGGAAGGAGGTCCGAGTTTGAGGCGTTTTAAAGGGACTGGGAAGGCAGGAACTTTATGGATTTCAATGCAATGGGTTTAAAATGGCCATTATATAGCGTAATCGGCTAAATTAGAAGCGAAAAACTATTTAAATGCACATTGAAAGCAGAATATGTATATTTCTATGTCAAAAAATAAAAAAGGGCAATTTACGGTAGGTGTTTGTGGCGTAATCGAATAAACCCGATCCGGATCTTGTTTTCAAAGGGACCAGGAAGCCAAAATCCTTGTGGATTCCTAGCAAAAAGACGATTACGGTTGCGGGAACGGTATTAAGCGTCAGAAATGAATAGCTATCGTATAATCCACTATTTTAGGCTGCACTCCGCGACGCTGCCCCGTACGGTAGCTACCGTAGCCCAGCACAGGGTCCCGAGAGGAGCAAGAGCGCATTTGGAGAACGAACCCGATTCGATGACGATGAGGTTAGAGAGGAGAGAGAGGGAGAGAGGAAGAGAGGGAGGGAGAGAGGAAGAGAGAGGGAGAGAGAAAGATACTCAAAATTTGCTAATTTTCAGTCGTGGACCGACACGATGCACACGAACGGATCGCGGCGTACGGGCAGCAGCTATCGACAGCTGGATGACAGCAGATATGGGTATGGTATTGTCTTAAAGGGGTGGTGCCAAATGTTCCGCAAATTGCCTCTGCTAGCCTGCCCTAGCGTCCAAAAGCAACCTGAAGAAATCCAATGCGGGCAGGCTAGCAAAGAGCTTTGGTGAAAATTATGTGCAAAATGGAAGGAGGGCAGGCTAGCGAAGGTTTTTAAGGCTATTTGCGACCCCGGAGCAACTGCCAGACTTCTTTGGCGAAAATTCGACCTAGGGCAAGCTAGCAGAGACCTTTTCGGAGTCTAATAATCCGAAAAGTCCCCAAATCACCATATTTCTGCAGAAATGACATGGACGACCTGTGCGACCCGGATTTCTACCTGAACTACGGTACCCAGAAACGACAACAAGCCCCCAAGAGCGAACAGTTGCCCCGGAAACAGTACAGACCGATTGAGGATCCATATGGGTATGGTATTTCTTGAAGAATCCCTGCTAGCATGCCCTTTTTAGACGTCACGACCATTATGCTCAACCCCAGCCAGTGGCCGCCGCGTCGACCCTCGATTTGCATCTGGATGAGCTGAATCGAGTGGTGCGTTTTTCGGGGTTTTAAAGGGCCGGTGAAGGCTGGGAATTTTGATAGATTTAATTGATTAAAAGGCTAATTAAAAAATTTGGAGTTGTATCGGTTTATTTGAGCGATTTCGTTCTGCAATACAACCAAATTCGCACCTTTTAAAGGGTCATTGAAGTCTGGAAGCTGGCATAAAAATGCCTTAAGATTTAAATGCAAACAAACAAATTCCGGCATTTTAAAGGCCGGTGGAAGTCTTAAAGCTTGACTTATTCAGGGGTCTTTATGCAAATATAGTGGAATTCGCGCATCTTAAAAAACC